ATGACCCAAATAACTTTCTGGTGTATGAGGAGACAGAGGGGAAAGATGAAAACAGGCATTTAAACTAATTAGACATCCTTACCTCGGGGTTGTTAATTTCAAGCAGTGTCAATGAAATATGACGTTTAACTGCATCATAAATAGTTGTCTAATAAAATTGGTAAATAGATGACTGCTATATTTTATGACCTCAGATGTAAAGGTGCTTATGTTTTATATTTTAGGGCTGCTTTTAATGAGACTCACAACATGCAGTAATGTGATAAAAGATATTGGATACAGTCAGATGTTTGCACACAGTTATCATCGGCATGAATACCCTGGTAATTTGGGACTTTAAATTATTTTTTTGAACTGTTCTTTTTTCAAGGTGTAGTTTTTTTTTTATCTGCACAAGAAATTATTTGGGTGATTATTGATTAACTCCTGGTAGTTTCTCTTTTCGTTAGTTTAACAGTGCTCATTGGAAACACTGACACTCAGAACAACGGGGAAGTCCGAGGAACTCAATAAAGAGATCTACACAAATTAGGAAGGTTTCTTGAAGCCATTTCTTGACAACTGCCAACTCCACAGCCATCTGACAATTATATGTAAATACAGGATGAGAGGAAATTGTTTAGGATGTTTGAGAAAAACTCAGGAACCACCAGAGTTCAAGCCTGCCACAGAGTGGAAACTGCTGAAATATTAGCGTCAGTGTCCAAAGTGACGTGAGCTTTATATCGACATTGACTGAGAGGGTGTCGACCAAGAAAGAAGCCCCTGCTCCAAAATCATCACCTTCAAGTTTGACTGCAATTTGCAGTTAGATAACAAAAATATTGAGGTATTTGGCCACAATAACAAAAACTATTTTAAGGAAGGGTAAAGGTGGCTTTCAAACCTATGAACACTGTCCCAACTGTCAAGCATGGTGGTGTTGGCATCATGTCCTTGGGCGGTTTTGCTTCTGGTGGTACTGTTACATTGCACAAAGTGAATGGAATTATCTCATAATTATTCAACTTCACCTCAAATCAGCAGTTAGATGGTTGAAATTTAGACATAGTGTCAATAGTTGGCTGTTCCACAGGACATGATCCCTCATTTTGGAACAAAGCAGACATTAAGCTCCTGACGTGACCTTTTTGAAACCCCAACGTCATCACAATTGAAAGTTTGCAGACTACGCTTAAAAGCCATGTACTTGCCAGGAAACCAAATGAACTGGGTGGTCAGATATGAGTGGTCAGATATCCAACCAGAATTATGCCAGGTGCTTGTTGATGGCTACCAAAAACAACTTGTTGATTTTGAACTTACTAAGGAACATTCAACCAAATATTAGTGGGGGTGTATGTACATATTTGGGTCTGTATTTATACTATTAGCCTTGTGTGGATTAGAGAACATCCAAATGACACAGACCCAATAGACCTAAGTGCCTTCTAGTGTTTTGTTCAGCAGTATCTAGATCCTGGGCTCTTTGTTTGTTTGTTTTTTAGTTTTTTTACCTTTGTAGAGTCAGGGGCTGTTTGTGAGACATTTCCATCTACAGCCTTGGACACCAAAACCTAACAACTCCTGTGCTTTTAATTCTAGTGTGTGGTATTTCTGTTAACAGGTAAGAATATTTCTTTACCACAATCATTTCAAAATGAAAACACAATTTGGTCAAGTTGCTTAAGAGAAAAAAATTATTTATTGCTCTATTATGGCCTATATAGCAAATATACAAATAGGTCAATGTGACCCAAACATCTCAATAAAGAATATTAATAATAATGATAATAATTAAAGCGCTTACAGTAAACCATTCTGTAATTTCAATGGTATTAGAGGTTCAGTCTTGAAGCATAAAAACAACATAGTTTCTGTGACAATATAGTGCTTAAGTCTGTGATCATGTCGTGCCTTTTGAGACATGGCTATTAAAAGGCACAGCTTATAGTCCCACATAATTTCTTATAAACAGAAGCTGTTTCATAACTGTTTAGCTCTATAATTTAGAGAGAACCGTCCAGGATATATACTAGAAGCTTCCTGCATCACATCAGCAGTTTCTGTCCTGGACAGCTCTGTGCCAGCAGACACGCACTTTGCTGCTCTGAGATCCCAGTACTCTCGCTGTAGACCCCTTTGGTCCCGTGGTTTACAAGTTGAAGGGTTATATGATTTCCCTTCTGCAGGCGTTTCCCTCATTGGCAGCCACACTCCTCCACCACCATGTCGTCTTGATGCCTCATGACCATCTTTCCATCTTCGAAGTACAGCATGGAGATTGGTGCCAGGCGTGTGGGCACACAAGACAGACAGGGTGCCTTGTCTGGATGATGATAATTCAACAGGCTCTGGAGAGCGGAGAAGAAGAAAATAATTTATTAGAGAACATCTATTCATGCTGTTGGGGCATTATCAGTACTGTTGCATATGATGAGGTGTTTCAGTCTTACCTGTATGTATGCGTGGTTAGTAGGGGTGAAGGTCTCATCTACTGGTGTGGGACAGGTCCCTTTGCAGCGATAAGCATTGTATCGTTTGGGATAGACAATCCACTCACTCCAGCCGAGTTTCTCAAAGTCCAACCACATGTCCACCTTCCTGCACAGATGATCCTTTTTCTCCTCTTGTGTTGCCTTGTCGCTGGGAGCATCTCTCCCACCCTCCTCTCTCTGCTGCTGGGTCTGCTGGTCCCTCTTTTCTCTGCTGCTCCTCATCCTGGAGGGTACGTGCTCCCTGCCCAGACCAGCGTACTTGGAGTGCTTTGCTGTGCGGATGAGCGTTGGTACTGGCTGGTCCTTTGCTTCATGCTTTAAGAACACCACCATGATGACCCTGTCAGCTGTAAGGTGCTGAAATAATTCATGCTCCTGCTCTCTCTCCTCTGGCTTCTCTTCCCCCATCCTCTTTGCGAAATACTCCCGATGCTGCAACCAGCGATGGACTATGTGCGTCATGTTGAACACTTTCCAGGAGGACGGCGACACCAGTGAACTGGGATGAACTCTAAGGTGGCCAAGGAGCAGCCTATTCTCGGGGCAGTGAGTTCCCATGCACCGCTCACTGTGGGAATGGTAGATGTCTATTGAAGCGCTGGAAGATTCTTTAAAAGCTGGCAGGCGGATGCGAAGCTCAGCCAGCTGGACAATGTCGCTTGCAGACATGGAGGACATGTCAAAAGTGAGGGACCATCTCCTGCCGATCTGCTGGCAGCCTGAAACAGATACGATAAGAGACATTTTTAGAATTATACCACAGGGTACGACTTATTTAACAATAGACATGCAAACTATTAAAGGAGAATAGAGAAAAAAAACACATTTTGTAGTAGTGTGTCAAACTAAAGTACATTTTGCTGCTAAATGTATTTATGAAGCTCTTCTGTTTGTAAATTATTCTTTTTCATCCATATTTTCTAAAAGAAAAGTTAGGCTACGTGGCTTTCAAATGGCTTTCAAAATACCTAAGCCCGTTTTTGTAATTCCCCTGATGTTAAATACTCACTCTTAGCAACAAGTCTGATCACAGAATCGGAGCTGTGAAGATTTTCTTCGTTCCAAGTGTGGGGCACGCTGTCAGCCTGAGTACTGATCTGGTCTTCGATCAGCATGACCCGGTAGAGATGGATCATGAAGTGCGGCAGGCTGTTAATGCGGTGCCTATGTGCAGCGTGTCTGGCCCCACCGTCCCGAGCTTTCCTCCCACGGAGCAGTTTATCAGGGTGCATCTTAGGGATGGCGAGAGCCTGAACCAAATCCACTAGAAGAAGAAGCGCAAAAGCGAAATCCACAGCTCGTCTCTTCATAATTTGTCGTGTTGTCTCTTCGGTAGGCAAATCCAGAATGGTCAGGTGTAGTCCCAGAACCGGATTTATAATCACACGTGTCTCTCTGAAGTTCTTTGAAGACAGCTGTCAGGCCTCTAATGACTGAAGGACGCCTGTGATCTAAGGGAGCGCTCAAAGACTACGGTATAACAGGGACCTCCTGTGGGCTATCGAAACCGAGTGCTCTTTGAAGTGAAGTCCCCCACTCTGATTGATGTTTTGTATACTGGCGATCCCTCAGATTAAAAGGCATGATAATATTTTTTAGCTAAAGAGATTATGAGCTACACAATTGCGCCTTGATTAATTGGGAGAAACAAGAGAGTTAATCAAAAAAACTGCTTTTTTCTGTATGACATCATTAACAAACTGCGCAACCCCTTGAGTCCTATTTCTGTCCAGGACACAAGCGGAAAATATAACAGACCAAAATAAATACAAATTTTGTTTGTTATTTTTTTAATTAATTAAATTTAATTTTAATGTATTGTTAATCTTAACGGGATGTCAGTGCTCAGAAATGAATAAAACGAACTGAACATTTTCAATAAATATCAGGAAGCCTAATCAGCAAAATATTAATAAACAATATGAAAATATGCGGAAGCAAACCGGTGATCTCCTTAATTTGCTGTTTTAAAAGAAACCTGCAATATAATATAATATAATATAATATAATATAATATAATATAATATAATATAATATAATACATATAGAAAAAAATTTAAATCAAGGGAAAGTTCAAAGACAGTATAATTAATTTGGGCCACTGTTTTAGGAACTGTAAGTCATTCCTTGTGTAATATTGCGTTTCCAAAGGCGCACGACTTTCATCGGACGCTGAAGCCATTAAAAGCTAACACACCCTGAGTGATAACTGCCCGCTAATCGTTTCCATTCATAAACTAAACAGCCTCGGGACCTCGGTGAAAAGAAGAAAGAGCCAATGTACAAAGCT